TCGCCATCCCTGGGGGGCTGCGATCTGTGATACTGTCGCCACTTCCGAGGCCTGCTGGGGGGCCCAGCACTGTGAGGGCCACGGGCGGACCCAAATTAGACTTCGCCATTCCTGGGGGGCTGCGATCTGTGAAACTGTCGCCACTTTCGAGGTCTGCTGGGGGGCCCAGCACAGTGAGGGCCACGGGCAGATTCAAATTAGACCTCGCCATCCCTGGGGGGCTGCGATCTGTGAAACTGTCGCCATTTTCGAGGCCTGCTGGTGGGCCCAGCACAGTGAGGGCCACATGCAGATTCAAATTAGACTTCGCCATTCCTGGGGGGCTGCGATCTGTGAAACTGTCGCCACTTTCGAGGCCTGCTGGGGGGCCCAGCACAGTGAGGGCCACGGGCAGATTCAAGTTAGATCTCGCCATCGCTGGGGGGGGGGGGGGCTGCGATCTGTGAAACTGTCGCCACTTTCGAGGCCTGCTTGGCGGGCCCAGCACAGTGACGCCACGCGCGGACCCAAATTAGACCTCGCCATCCCTGGGGGGCTGCGATCTGAGATCTCCGCTTTCGAAGTGGCTAGGGTTGCTCAGGGATTGCAACTAATCAGCTTTATCTAGTTCTTGTCCTGAAACCAGTTTCCTGCGAGTCTCCCGAATTCCGTCTGCAGACATATGTAACCCTTGCTCCGTCATCGCCCCCCTTATAAAGTGTCCTAAACTATTTGCGCCCCGCGGTTGCGCAGGGGTTGGGTACGTCGCCAGGGTAATTCCAAACCCTCCTTGGTTGGGTATTGGTTTTGAATGGAGCACTGCGGTCTCCACTTCTCATTCTCCTTCTCCGTCTCCTTCTCCTCCCGCCTGCCTCTTGTCTCCTCTTGCCTTGTGCGTACCTCTCGTGTGTGCATCTTGCCTGCGGTACCTCTTGTGTGTGCATCTTGCCTGGGAGGGGGCTGCGACCTGCGAAACTGTCGCCACGTTCGAGGGCTGCTGGGGGGGACAGCATAGTGGGTCAACCGCCGCAGACCCAAATTAGACATCGCCATCCCTGTGGGGGGGCTGCGATTTGCGAAACCGTCGCCACTTTCGAGGGCAGCTGGGGGTGGACAGCATAGTGGGTAGCCGCTGCAGACCCAAATTAGACCTCGCCATCCCTGGGGGTCTGCGAGTTGCGAAACCGTCGTCACTTTCGAGGGCTGTTTGGGGTGTCAGCATAGCGATCCTCGAAACTGTCACCATTTTCGAAGGCTGCTGGTGGGTACAGAGGAGTGAGGCACCGCGCAGATCTGAGCGAGACCTGGCCGTCCCTGGGGGGCTGCGATCTGCGATTTGCGAAACTGTCGCCACTTTGAAAGGCTGTTGGGGGGATAGCATAGTGGGTAGCCGCCGCAGACCCAACTTAGACCCCGCTATCCCTGGGGGGGGGCTGCGATTGGCGAAACTGTCGCCACGTTCGGGGCCTGCTTGGGGGACAGCATAGTGGGTAGCCGCAGCAGGCCCACATTAGACCTCGCCATCCCTGGGGGGGGCTGCGATTTTCGAAACCGTCGCCACTTTCGAGGGCTGCTGGGGGGGACAGCAAAGTGGGTAGCCGCTGCAGACCCAAATTAGACCTCGCCATCTCTGGGGGGCTGCGATGTGCGAAACCGTCGCCACTTTCGAGGGCTGCTGTGGGGGACAGCATAATGGGTAGCCGCCGCAGACCCAAATTACACCTCGCCATCCCTGGGGGGGCTGCGATTTGCGAAATTGTCGCCACTTTCGAGGGCTGCTGGGGGGGTACATCGTGATGGGTAGGTAGCCGCCACAAACCCAAATTAGACATCGCCATCCCTGGGGGGGGGGATTCGCGAAACCGTCACCGTTTTCGAGGGCTGCTGGGGGGAACAGCATAGTGGGTAGCCGCCGCAGGCCCAAATTGGACTTCGCCACCCCTGGGGGCTGCGATGTGCGAAACTGCCGCCACTTTCGAGGGCTGCTGGGGAGGATAGCATAATGGGTAGTCGCCGCAGACCCAAATTAGACCTCGCTATCCCTGGGGGGGGGGGGGGCGCGATTGGCGAAACTGTTGCCACTTTCGAGGGCTGCTTGGGGGGGCCAGCTATAGTGGGCAGCCGCCGCAAACCCAAATTAGACCTCGCCATCCCTGGGGGGAGAGGCTGCGATTTTCGAAACTGTCGTCACTTTCGAGGGCTGTTTGGGGGGTCAGCATGGCGATCCTCGAAACTGTCACCATGTTCGAAGGCTGCTGGTGGGTACAGAGGAGTGAGGCACCGCGCAGATCTGAGCGAGACCTGGCCGTCCCTGGGGGGCTGCGATCTGCGAAACCGTCGCCACTTTCAAGGGCTGCTGGCGGGTCCAGCGGAATGAGGCACCGCGCAGGTCTGAGCGGGACCTCGTCATCCCTGGGAGGCTGCGATTTGCGAAGCAGCCGTCGCTTTCGAAGGCTGGTAGCGGGTCCAGCGGAGTGAGGTACCACGCAAATCTGAGCGGGACCTCGCAATCCCTGGGGAGCTGCGAGCCTCGCGAATGCCGCTCGCAGACGTATATGCGCCCATGTCACGTCATCACCTCCATACAACGTCTCCCAAGCTACTCATGCCCCGCATTGCGCAGGGGTTGGGTACGTCGTCAGGGTAATTCTCCCAGGCCGCGGTTCATCGCATGACCCTGCCTATGGCAAGTCGGCTCGTGTAGCGTTCTTGGTTTTCCGGCGATCGATTGTTTCACGCTGCTGTGCAAATCGCGCCGTGGTGAGGTCCAGTGGTCGCTCGCTCCTCATCCCTCCTTCTGGGAAAAATTATCCAGGCAAATCAACCTAACAGCGATGTGTAGGAGCATATCTGGAATCATTCCCCTTTAAGATTCAGATGAGAATCCAGTTGTAGAATTCTGCTGTTCTCGCAGTCGTCGTCGCATTCGCGATGACAGTCGCAGTGGCAACGGCAGTCGCAGTCACAGCCTCAGCCTCAGCCTGCCTCAGCCTCAGCCTCAGCCTGCCTCAGCCTCAGCCTGCCTCAGCCTCAGCCTCAGCCTGCTTCAGCCTCAGCCTCAGTCTGCCTTCAGCCTCGCCTCAGCCTCAGGCTGCCTCAGCCTCGGCCTGCATCAGCCTCAGCCTCAGCCTCAGCCTGCCTCAGCATCAGCCTGCCTCAGCCTCAGCCTCAGCCTGCCTCAGCCTCAGCCTCAGCCTGCTTCAGCCTCAGCCTCAGTCTGCCTTCAGCTTCGGCCTCAGCCTCAGCATGCCTCAGCCTCAGCCTGCATCAGCCTGAGCCTCAGCCTCAGCCTGCCTGAGCATCAGCCTGCATCAGCCTCAGCCTCAGCCTCAGCCTCAGCCTGCTTCAGCCTCAGCCTCAGTCTGCCTTCAGCCTCGGCCTCAGCCTCAGCCTGCCTCAGCCTCAGCCTGCATCAGCCTGCATCAGCCTCAGCCTCAGCCTCAGCCTGCCTCAGCATCAGCCTGCTTCAGCCTCAGCCTCAGCCTGCCTCAGCCTCAGCCTCAGTCTGCTTCAGCCTCAGCCTCATTCTGCCTTCAGCCTCGGCCTCAGCCTCAGCCTGCCTCAGCCTCAGCCTGCATCAGCCTCAGCCTCAGCCTCAGCCTGCATCAGCATCAGCCTGCCTCAGCCTCAGCCTCAGCCTGCCTCAGCCTCAGCCTCAGCCTGCCTCTGCCTCAGCCTCAGCCTGCTTCAGCCTCAGCCTCAGTCTGCCGTCGGCCTCGGCCTCAGCCTGCCTCAGCCTCAGCCTGCATCAGCCTCAGCCTCAGCCTCAGCCGGCCTCAGCATCAGCCTGCCTCAGCCTCAGCCTCAGACTCAGCCTGCCTCAGCCTCAGCCTCAGCCTGCTTCAGCCTCAGCCTCAGTCTGCCTTCAGCCTTGGCCTCAGCCTCAGCCTGCCTCAGCCTCAGCCTGCATCAGCCTCACCCTCAGCCTCAGCCTGCCTCAGCATCAGCCTGCCTCAGCCTCAGCCTCAGCCTGCCTCAGCCTCAGCCTCAGCCTGCTTCAGCCTGCTTCAGCCTCAGCCTCAGTCTGCCTTCAGCCTCGGCCTCAGCCTCAGCCTGCCACAGCCTCAGCCTGCCTCAGCCTCAGCATCAGCCTGCCTCAGCATTCAAAATGTGGCCCGGGAATGGAGATCTGGGACCTCGAAAAACACGAAATGGCCTACAGTTGGCTCCGAGCATTCAAAATCATGCCCAGGAATGGAGTTCTGGGAACTCGAAGACCACGAAGTGGCCTAGAGTTGGCTCCGGGCATTCAAAATGTGGCCCGGGAATGGAGTTCTGGGAACTCGAAGAGCACAAAGTGGCCTAGAGTTGGCTCCCGGCATTCAAAATGTGGCACGGGAATGTAGTTCTGGGAACTCGAAGACCTCGAAGTGGCCTACAATTGGCTCCGGGCATTCAGAATGTGGCCCGGGAATGGAGTTCCGGGAACTCGAAGACCTCGAAGTGTGTAACTGTTTGCTTAAAACGACTTCCGCGGACCCCTGTCCGGATGCCGCCCAGACCCCCCTGGGGAGTCATGATGCTCTCTTTTGACCTCATTAGAAACCTATCAGTCTTCGCTGTTAGGTAAAAATGAAAATATTCCTTTTGCGACAGATTGCGGATGTAGTCCAGCTGCGGCGGAGTACAAGTGGATTCCTTTTGTGGCGGGTTACAAGTTGATTCCCTTTGTGGCGGATTTCAAATTCATTTCTGTGGCGGGTTAC